CCCGCTCTCACGTGCCTGCACGTGTCTGCACGGCCCGCACTACTGCGCATGCGCCCTAGCCGGTTCTCCCTGGCAAGCTGCGTGCTTGCAAAGTGCCAGTCCCCTGTGGGCACGCGAGCACCGCCCCGCCCTGCCAGGTACCAGTGGCAACTGCTTTCCAGCTCTCCCCAGTAATTTCCCTGTCGGAAAGCGCTCCCTAAGGGAATGGTGGGGAGGGAAGGGTCCAGGAATGTTTGTCCTGCCACCCCATACAATGGACATCTCAAATGCCATCATCTGGAGTAGCCACCATCACCCTCTCCTCATAGCATTTATCATTAGCTGATATTGTAGATATTTTTTAAAAATATATTTTGATTGATTTCAGAGAGGAAGGGACGGAGACAGAAACATCAGTGATGAGAGGGAACCATTCATCGGCTGCCTGCTGCCTGCACTACATGGGATTGACCCCGGCTGGTGTGGCTCAGTGGTTGAGCATAGACCTATGAACCAGGAGGCCCCGGTTAGGTTCTGGGCTTAATAATATAAATTGCCCAAAAGCAGGGACCTGCCAGTCTGCTTCTCTCCCTGCAGGATCCCCAGGGTCTGGCATATGGTAGATACAGAATCTGTGTTGTCTGAAAGCCTGGCCTGGGCCCCCTACCCTGTCCTCGCCCCCAGGGCATCACTATCTGGTTTGTGAGCTTGTTTGCTCTGTATGTTTTTATTTTGGCGGCTCACGCACTGGTGCTTGTTCTTCCATACAACCGCCTGTCGCCCTTCAGACACTCAGTTCAATGTGTGTTTTCCACTAGTGCTCCTCGGAAGCCATCGCTCCACCATCACCGAGCCTTTCTTTTTAGGGATGTGAAGTATGTGTGGCTCCTTTGATGGGATTTACGTTCTGTCCTGGATAACCTGGCCGTCACCTCCATCCATTCAGACCTCTTTGGGTCCTGCCCATCTCAGCTTTAGTCCATCCCGTCCAGTCAAATCCGATCAGCCTGTCATTGCAACAGCCTCGTGTCAAAGCACAACAGTTTTGAACTTTGCCTTGAAGCCTGTGTATGTGCCAGGCCTGTGGCAGATACTGCAGGAAGCACCAGGTGGGCTTGCGGCTGGCTGGAAACAGATGTCGGGGCTGAGTGAGCCCTCTCACAAATGACTTCCTTTTCTCTGTCCACCGGGTGACTTCCGGCACCTTGCACTCCTGGGAGAGGTGGGAAACCCCTCCACCCAAGCACTGGAGCGGGCACGCACAAGCACTGCTCCCTACCAAAACAGCCTCGGCTGCAGGGCCTGCGCCTCGTCTACCTCACACCTGGGCTGATTTTTTGCTACCTGACTATGGGTGGCTTTTACAGGCTTCCTCCCCACCCCTTCGTTGTCTGTCCAACGTTGCTTGTGCCTTTGTTAAAAGATAAACTGAGGCATATTAAAAAGTTTATTTGAGCAAAATTGATTTGAATCGGGCAGCATCCAGCGTAGCAGATAGGAGCTCTGGAAAGCTGTTCAAAATGGAAGACTTTTATAGGCAGAAGGGAGCAGGAACAAGGACGTTATACCAGGCAAAAAAGGTGGCTGGTTATTGTAGGCTACTTTCTTTTAGGGGATAGTAGGAATCTTACCTAGCAGATGCCATTTCCGGGAGAGCTGGAACTATAACTAAGCTAGGTCTTGGTTTGGAGATGTGGGCTTAGCATAAGAGATTCCATTTGGGGCCTGTTGTCTTGCTCTTGTTTTATTGACATACTAGAGGCCCGGTGTACAAATTTGTGCACAGGTGGGGTCTGGCCAGCCCACCCCGATCTGCGGATTGGATTGGCCGGGGGGAGGGGCTGCTGGCAGTTGGCGGCCAGCTCTGCCCCATGGTCGAACTCCAGGTGCAGGGGACAACTTGAATATTAGCCTTTTATTATATGGGATAATATCTTATTCATTTCAGGTGTACATAATAGTGACTTGATATTTAAATATATTATGAAATGATCCCCATGATAATTCTAGTTACCATATTATTGACGGCATTCCCATATTATTGACTGCATTCCCAATGCTGTACATTACATACCCATGACTTGTTTATATTATAATAGGAAGTTTGTACCTCTTAATCCCCTTTACCTATTTCATCTGCCGTTCAACTCCTTCCCGCTCTGATAACCACCAGTCGGTTTCTGTTTTGTTTGTTCATTTATTTTATATTCCACCTATAAGTGAACTCATATATTTGTCTTTCTGTGTCCAACTTACTTCACTTAGCATAATATCCTCTAGGTCCATCTATGTTCATACAAATGGCAAGATTTGATTCTCATTTTATGGCTGAGTAATATTCAGTTGTGTGTGTGTGTGTGTGTGTGTGTGTGTGTATATAAAATCTTTATCCATTCATTTATTGATAGACACTTAGGTTGCATCCATATCTTGCCTATTGTAAATAATGCTGCAATAAACATAGGGATCATATACCTTCTTGAATCAGTGCTTTTGTTTTCTTCATGTACATATCCAGAAGTGGATTGCTGGAATGATAGCGTTCTATTTTAATTTTTTTGAGGAACCTCCTTGCTGTTTTCCATAATGGCTGCACCGTTTTACATCCCCACCCGTAATGTACAAGGGTTTCCTTTTCTCTACATCCTCACCAACACTTGTTATTTGTTGTGTTTTTGATAATAGTCCATTCTGACAGGTGTGAGATGGTATCTCATTGTGGTTTTAATGTGCATTTCCTTAGTATTGAAGAGACTGTCTTTCCCCATTTTATATTCTTGCCTTCTTTGTCATAGATTAATTGACCACCTATGCGCGGGTTTATTTCTGGGCTCTCTATTCTATTCCATTGATCTATGTGTCTGTTTGTCATGCCAGCACCATACTGTTTTGATTACCGTAGCTTTGTAGTATAGTTTGAAATCAGGGAGTTTTGTTCTTTCTCTAGATTGCTTTGGCTAGTCAGAGTTTTTTGCAGTTCCATACAAATTTTAGGACTCTTTGTTGTTGTCTTGTTTTTTATTTTTTTAAACACCTTCCTGAGGGATCTAGTGCATTTACAATCCAGACTGGCTATGTCAGAGTTCAGAGAGTGCCGGCTGTGAAGCAGCACAGATGGGCTTGCATTCCACCTCCACTCCATGATGAATGCTTCTGACCATGTAAACAAGTTGCCTAAGTTTCTGAGGATCCGCTCAGCTGGGAAAATGGGAGTGACCACATCCATCTGCCGGATTCTTGGCAAGAATAACCGACGCGGTGCGTGTGTGCCACGTGCCCAGCTGGAACAGGCGCTGGGTGATGTCATCGCCGATAACTGTTAACCACTCAGTCGCTGGTGTTATTGGCCACCCATCCTCCAGGCTTGCCAAGCCCTCGGCACCTCTGCCAGCGCCCACTTAGCGGGAAGGCTTTCTGTCTGCAGACGGCGAACTCCTCGCCTGGAAAGAGC